ACTCATTATTTCTCGAGCACTTTATCGGGACATTTCCCCACACGTCTAATTTGTCCTGTCTGAAATGTAACTTCACATAAGGGATTTTCTTAATTGCTTTTGAAGCCCTTCCAAGATAATCAACGGCTTTTTGGAGCATGACAAAGGACAGTAGACAATAGTGCCAGTCTTGTCTTCTGATCACACTGAAGTTCCTGGGTAAGAGACAGCACAGAGAGGCAGCGCTTGCCTCCAAAACTGTTCCGTGTCTCCATTTTCACTTGGTTTCCATTTTCATCTGTACCACTGTGATGGCTGTCACTTTGGGGGTAGACGCAGTCAATATTTACAAAAGAACAAAATACAATCTTTGCTATTGTGAAGAATTTTAACCAAAGATTAAACAAAGACGAAGTAAAAAGAAAACAACCAGATTTGGGGAGAAGGAAAACTGTCAAAGGCTGGTTTTGTTTCTGTTATCCTGATTTAACAAATTTAAGCAAATTATGAGACATACTGATTTTAGAACATTTTTACCTTGTCCTGGCTGGTGTAGCTCAGTGGACGGAGTGCCAGCCTGCAAACTACAGGATCGCCGGTTCGATTCCCAGTCAGGGTACATGCCTGGGTTATGGGCCAGGTCCCCAGTGGGGGGGGGGGGGTGCATGAGAGGCAACCACACACTGATGTTTCTCTCCCTCTCCCCTTTCCCCTCTCTAAATTGAATACATATTCTTAAAAAAAAGAAACAAAACATTTTTACCTTGAGTTTTCAAGCTGCCAATTCTAAATCATTTTATTTTCTAGTTACAGAACAAACTGCATCTAATTTACATGGCAGACAGGATGATGGTCATCCACAGATGTCTGCAACCTGAACCCTGGAACCTTACATGGAAGATTAGACTTTTAGTAGGTGTGGTTTAAGGTTACTAACCTTCAGAGGGGGAGATTATTCCTGACTCTCTGGGATACCCAGTTTAATCACGCTTCCTTAAAACTGGAGCTTTTCCAACTGTGGTCCGAGAGAGATGAGACAGAAGGGTTGGGGAGAGTCAACATGAGGGCTCCACCCACTGGAGCTGGCTTTGAAGACGAAGGAAGGAACGTGGTGACGTAGAAGTTGGGAACAGCCCTCAGCTTATAACCATCGAGAAAATGCAGACCTTGTTCCCACAGAAGCAAAGAACGGAATTCTACCAGCCCAAACGAGCAGGAAATTTCTTTCTCAGTGCCTCCAGAAAAACATGCAGGCTGGAGACACCTTGGTTTTAGCCCAGGGATTCGTGCGTCAGGCATTTCACTGACAGGGTGTAAGATCATACATCCGAATGGCTTAAGCCACCACGCTGCTGGTGATTTGTTACAGCCTCATAGAAAACTAATATACTACAGCAAATCACCCTATTTTGGCACCCAGATCATCCTTAATGCGACTGAATATAAAACATATAATATTAACTTTCTTTTTTTTAAAGATTTTATTTATTTTTAGAGAGGGAAGCGAGGGAGAAAGAGAGGGAAACATCAATGTGTGGCTGCTGGGGGTCGTGGCCTGCAACCCAGACATGTATCTGACTGAGAATCGAATCTGTGACACTTTGGTTCGCAGCCCGCGCTCAATCCACTGAGCTACGCCAGCCAGGGCTATATTAACTTTCCTATCACTTAATATTTAGTCAGCACCATCCTCAGAGAAGGAAATTCAAATGTTGCTTGTGACTACGTCTCATGAGTGAAAAATACAAAAATTCCCACCTCAGTAACTTGAGAACACTGACTGGGACACAGGGTGAAGGACAAACATTAGCCGTCTTCTGGATCAACACTTGTTAATACGCCGTGCCGACTCCCCATCACCTCCCAAGAACTGCTCTTGGCGGAATCAGAGAACTGATTGTTCTTAATTTTAAAGCTTAACCTTGGCAGTCTGTACAAAGTCCCCAGGAGCTCTAGAAATATTTAAACCATTTTAACTAAAAGACACTCAAAAAGGGAAGGAATCATGCCTAGTAACCGTGTCACTATTTCCAGATGAAATCCAGGCAGTATTAATAGCCAAAAATAAAATGGTTAATTCGGTGCTTCATTTGTATTAAATGATGACCTTATCTAAGACACCAATTTTGGTTAGCTAGTTTTCCTAAAGGCATAACAGCGAAGAACAGCAAAATTCACGTTGGCCAGACCACAAAATCCGCTAAGGACGATGTCCAACGAAAGGAAACAGTGTCCAGCTCATACACTGAGTCGGGAAGAGATGCATGGCCCAAGCCTATAAAAACCCATGTAAGAAGTTCCATTTTAAGATGGTGGATAGAACTTAGTTAAGTATTGTATCTTGCTAAAACTCCAGTGAAAAATATAGTTTTTAAAAGAAGAAAATAAAAAGACATAAAATAACATGAACAGAGAGAACTGGAAAGAAGATGACGGTAACAAAATCTGGAAAGCTGGAAAGAAAAGGGCACTAACGGTCAGCAAGTTAACCAACCCTCAAAGGCTGAACTGTGAACAATGGCTGAGGACATGGAGAACCAAAGCCATTGACCCTGAAAATCCTGAGAGGGCTCAGACCATATACATCCCAGTCTTGGATGAAAGGGAAGGGAAAGGCATGGAGAAACGAGTGACATTAGATTCCTGGATCCCTTCCCTAAACCGCCAGATTACTGGACGGCTATCCTTCGGGGAAACCACTGTACTTCTGGATTGGAAGGAGGGGGGTGGGTGACATTTCTGAATGAGGAGGAAGGTAGAGCAGTGGAAACAGGACGACTACGTGGACAGGTGAAAGCTGAGTGCTGATTACAGGACCTGTGAACTGTGTGGGAACTCGAACACAGGGACCCCAAATCACTCGCCCTGGTCTGGGGCCTAGGTCTCTACCAGATGAACTACACATGCTTAGGTGTATGTTATTAGATAATAACATAGTATCAAGGGCAAACTTGGTTCTAGCAATGGCTCTCTCCATCACTAATTATGGAATCTCTATGGTAGTACCAAGTACAGCACCCCCCGCAAGACCCACCCACAGGCACTTGGTAAGGGCAATGCTCCGTTTGCTAGTTATCTGTGCTCCAGGCATTTGCACAGCAGACGGGTGAGAAAGGTGGTATTCCTCCCACATGACCCTAAAAACCTGAGACTCAAAGAAAAACACAACTTGCTAGGAGCAAGTGGTTGAATCGCATCTGAATCCGGACTGGATTTTCTTCACTACACCAAACACAGCCTTGCAAGTCAGAACCTTCTCTCGACTCACCTATCCACAGTTTGCTGCTCATGGCAGGGTTTGGCCCACAGTCACTGACATCAGAGCCATGGTCCCGGGCGGTGAGGGGCGGAGGGGGCACCTGGTGCGATTCGGAGCATGATATTTATCAATGTCGTGAACAAATGAGTAAAGGAGCTGCAAATATGGAAAGAGGGAAGCTAAACTACACCCTGGAGAGCAAGACCAGAATTAGAGGTATCAATGTGAATTTACAGCGTCTTACACAGAGACGTCAAAAACGTCAAGATCTCGAGAGACTGGGGAACTGCCCTTGACTGAAGCTAAAGCCTGACGGCCAACCACCACCACACGTGACGCTGGACTGGACAGACTCCTGAAAGACACCACTGGGCTGGCGCATGAAGTGTGAACAGGGTCTGTAGGTTAGATAATCACTTGCATCAATGACGGTAACTTCCTGATTTCGACTGTTATGGCACAGGGCTGTGTGGAAGTGCATCCTTATTTTTCGAGAACATAATTAAGCTTATATACTATAAAGCGGGTGATTTGGCATCATGGCTGCAACACACTCATAAATGGTTCGGGAGAGAGCATATACCCTATTGAGTGTGCATCTAAAAAGACAAAGAAAATGACAAGTGTGGCTAAATGCTGACAACTGGAAAATCCGGAAGGGGAATACAGGCACTCTCTATGCTACTATGGCAACTTTTCTGTAACACTGAAATTTCAAAATGAATTATGAAAATGGCATGGACTTTCTAATATAAACAAACCCCAAGGCATTTAAACGAGAAAAGAAAGAGTGTGGAAAAATGAGCACTACGCTGCCCTGTGTGTAAGCAAAGGGATGGCTGAGAACACACACACACACTGAGAGACTGTCTCGCACAGGCAAAGCACATCTAGAAACACATTCCACAGTCTGACCCATGCTCGTTTCCTGCTCAGTTGGAAAAAGCAGTGGCTAGAGACGGATGAGAAAGGTTTTAACTTTGAAAATCTGAATTTTGTACTACATGAAGTAACAAACTTCAAATATATGAGCAACAGCTGGCTACCTTAGAAATACCTAGCAACATTTAAACCTAAATTAACAAGCATTGATTCCAGAAATTCTATTTCTGTGGGTCCAGGGTAGGGCTCAGGAACTGAGCGGCTATTACTTCCCTATTTATAAAACATAGTGTAGTTTGGGAATTGCTGCTTGAATCAAATCACCCAAATCTTATCTTCTCCAAACCCCCAATTCTAGGTAAATTAGGACTTTCTGTCCAATGAGAGAAAAAGAGCATAATCTAGGGAAAGAACACCCCACAAGTAAAATCAGAAAATCTGAAACCAGGGTCTGCACTGACCTCCAAACAGAAGCCAAATCATATAAGCCATCTACCTTTTCCAGTTCCTTCCTAAGGACCAAAGGGATTGGTGAGGTAAGGTTACCTGAGTATTAGTGGGTATAGGTAGTAATTCAGATATTCGGCATTCTTCAGAGGGAATACTGTGTAAATATGTAACAAGATTACACTTATTTTAATTAAAAAAAAAAACCAAATGACACAAGTAGATACAGTATCTGTAACATTCTAGATCTCAAGTGATAGGGTCATCCTGTTCCTTATCATGTTTTGTGTCTCAATATAGTAACTATATTCTTGTATGCATCCATTATTATGTGATAAGAACGTAATTTTTAAAAATGAAAGCAATAAAATAACACTTAGTTCAGATGGCTGGTTCTTACATTTAAAAAAGAAAATACAAGAAAACTAACCACTACCATGCCAACAGTACACATTTATTATTATTCGTGAATGGTCAAAAGACTTACAAGGCCCATTATTATTAGTATAACCACATATATGAAACATCAGTGACATGGAGTGAAAAGGACAGTTTCATATATATTTAAAAATTACAGACACACACTTTCTCAAGTGTTCACCACACGCTGCTACAAAAGCAGGCGGCATCGAGCGGCAGGAGTACCAATAAACATAACATGTGGAAATATTATCTCAAGCATAAAAACTGTACTTAAGTTGCAAAAATAAAGTTTCTTTCTTCAGACATTTTGATCTGGGCTCAAGCAAAGCAAACAATGAACAACAATGATTTTCACACTATTTAACACTTTAAAACAGAAAAGGGTCGAAGCTGCAGTAGTCCTGAAACTGCAGAGGTTAGAAGAATGAACAATGCATTTCACCCCCTCCCTCCGAAAAGAAGTCTACAGCAGATCTGTTTCACCCTGGCTCTCGAATGCTGCAGAATCATAATCTACTACACTCAAACAGCAAGTGAAGCCAGAACAAACAAAACGAGAAAAAAAACAAACATCATTACTTCAGACAAGGCATTATTGACCTTAGTTTCTTTACATAATTTCACTAGTGCAAGAACATCATTTACCTGAAAGATCATAAGTCACAATTAAAGAGCACTCATACAAAACTATTTCTTTTTTCTGTTTAAAAAGTGCCACATACAGAATTCTATCATTAAAAAAAAAAAAAAAAAGACAACACACACACACTAGTGAAAGACTGTCTGTCTCCATCTCTTATCGATGAGGAAAGGCCAGAGCGACTCTTTGATTCCAATCCGAAACGGTGTTCTCTGGCCAATGCCCAGGGTCTCCAACTTGGAGCAGTCCAGCTGGGCGTTCCTTGGACGCTGTGCTCCCAAGACAGGACTGTCAGTTATCTTTAAAGACAAATAAAAACAAAAAATTAAAAATACGTGAAAGGCTACGTGTTGAGGTTTTTATATTCTCTACTTCACTCTGCCTCCAGTGCAAGATACCTGGTTTGATCCCTGGAAAAATTGTTTTGAAAAGGCGGCTACAATCAAGACAATACTTTTTCCACAAACATCACATACTGACGGGCTTCTTTATACTTGACAACTTAGTAACAATATAAACCGCCAACATACAAGTGAGGGTCACTGCGATTAATCCTGGAAAACCAAGTCACTAGTACTTCCCAAGCAATAAGGAAATGTCATCAACAGTACGCACTACAAGGATGGCTCTGGGCTTGGGAAAAGCGGGGTTTTAAATGCCGCGTGCTTACCGGCCGTAAGTGACTGATGGGGAGGTTGAAGGCGTCTGCAATCGCACAGGCCATTTCATACTTTGTCATCTGTTCGTTGCCGGACCAGTGAAAAGTTCCCTTTATTGACGGATCCTGACAGAGACAGAAAAATTCAAAATAGCTTCAATTTTCTGAGCTGAGTGGAGTGGTAGGTTTGATAAGGTAATTTAAAGGTCCAGCAATTAAAATGTATCTCTCCTTTCTAAAATGCTCTCTGCAAGACATTTAAAATCAAACGCCTATAAATATTCTCAGCTAACATGAAAAGCAATTTCTAGAATTTAGCCTTGAGAATTTTTTAAAAAAAATAAAAAACGTAAATGACTCCATTTTATTAAGCAGGAATTCCAAAATGATTAGATATTTTTCAATCCTCACCTGAGGACATGCTTGGTTTTGAGAGAGAGGGGAAAGGGGTGGGGGAAATCAATAAATACCCTCAGATGAGGATTAAAAAAAAAAAAAGAAAACGTCACTAGCGATTACTAGAAAAATACAAGCATGAGTAAAAGAATGACAGACAAGGTCTGTAGTGTTTGAGAAAGTAACACAAGAGTAGGATATGTTTAATATTCATAAATACAACCTACTACCTGTAAACTATTTTTGCTGGGTCTCCTTGTAGTTCTAAAAGAGCACATTACAAAGTACAGAATAGGAAATACAGTCAAAATACTGTAAAACTATCTACGGTGCCAGCTGGGTACTGGAAATATCAGGGGGAACACTTTGTAAAGTGTATGATTTTCTAACCACTATCTTGTACACCTGAAACTAATACAAAAATAGGACTGAACGTAAACGGTTCACTGAAAATAATAAAGTGATTTAAAATAAGAATAAAGCTCTTTAACTTTCACTCATTTTCAGGATTTTCACTAAGATGTAAGATAGAAAATCTTCCTCCCAAAGCCTCTCACCAGCATTCTCTTCTCGGCTAGCTGCCGGCACACGGTGGCTACGTCCTTGACGTGCGTGGGGAACCTCTGCTGCCAGTGGTCCATGTTCGCCGACTTGTTGCTGAACTGCACTTTATCAAACATGACAGTCACAGCACTTTCTTCAAGCTTTTCAACTTCTCCATACAGAACCGGGATTCTCAAAACAGCAGCCCCTACAGATGAAGAAAAGCAGGTAACACCCGAAAGCAGAGTGGTTCGCAAGTCTTGATGTAAGATGAAAGTATGTGGATTGAAACAGTATCGTAAAATACTTGCAACAGACCATGATGACAGAGCTCACCTGTAATGCCCATTTAACAAATGTGATCCTAAATGTTTTTAAGTGTTCTCTCACTTAGGTTATTTTTACATATAACTTCTTCATTATTATGACCATTAAAAATAACACTGATTATGACAACTAAATGCAATTAGTGATCCTTGATTGGATCCTAGATTAAAAGAATAAAATGAAATAAAGGACATTATTGGGACAACTGAGAAAATTCCTACAGAGTGTAAATTATATTGCAGTAATGTCTAATTTCCTGAGTGTGATAACTGCTGTAATTATATAAAGAACATCCTTGTTAGAAGATACACAGCACATTATTTTGAGATAAAACCCAACTAATTCTTAAGGAGTACAGAAAAAAGAACAGTGTGTACAAAATACATGTGGCAAAACATTAACAGTAGGTGAAATCTATAAAGGATACGTGAATATTCACCACATAACTCTTGAAACCACTGATTAAAGAATTATGAGCTATTTAGATTTTACGTTGGTCCCCAATGAGGGGTTACAACAGGCTAGATAATTGACACTTTAACTGAAAATCAAACACTTTAACTTACTGGACAATCATTAGAGATATTCAAGAATAATTTCTGCAAGATAATTTACAATACAAACCCCCGAAAAAATGAAATGTGTATTAGTGCAGTACCTATACCAGGGGACATTTCTCAAAGACATAGCACAGTCTCAGGAAAGCAGTTTAGTGCAGAGGATCGCCAAATCAAATACTATGCAGCCAGTGATAGGAAAGTGATGTTTTCATTATCCTGAACTGCAATGTCAGGCGGGTGGTGGGGACAGGACATAGACTACAAAATAACATGCAAATATTTTAAAACATTAGTAAGAAGTGCCTCTATACATAACCACATTTGGTGCTTCTTCCTGAGGTAGCACTGTAAGAGAACTTACACTCTTTACAATTTTAAATTAAAAGAACAAAATTTTTTTCCAGGAGAGTATATATACATGTAGATACAAACACACAAAGGAGAAAAGAAAAACCACACAAATACCAGAATACCCCAATCTAAGAGAAATGATAATGACCTAATTTTTTGAAATTAGATCACAAACATTTGTACTACAGAATTTGTTGTCTATAATTAATGGTATTTATATAGGCAGTGATGCTGGGAACTATCTGGAAGGATTCACAAATTCTTCAAGACTTCTAAAATTCTAATTTTTCTTTTTTTTTGTTAGCTAAATTCTGTAATAATTTATTTTTTTAAATTAAACACACACATACCCCGCATAAACAAAAGGAATCCTCAAAGCAAAAGACTGTTGTCTTACCTAAATTGTTCTCCAGGACAGCCTTTTCTCCTTCTAATTTTGTTTTGCCATACAGGTTCAGGGGACATGGTATGTCTTCCTCGCTGTATGGAGGATTTGTTCCATCAAAGACATAATCTGAGCTAATATAGATTAGAAATGCTCCGACTGCAGCTACAAAACAACAACAACAACAACAATCTATTAAATACATGACATTTACTCTTTATTGGATTTTGTAATGGCTTATGCATCACACACAGAAATAAATCTCTTATAAGCAACCTACAAAACTTTAATCTTCACCAACTCAGCAATCATTTAATATTTTATGACGAGTTAATGAATTCGTCATTACCTGCTTCCTTTGCTAAATTCCCAGAAGCATCCACGTTAAGCTGAGCAGCAGCATCTGGCTGATTTTCTACGACATCTGGCCTTCTCTCTGCTGCACAGTGTACTATCACATGGGGCTGCAAGTTAAGCATCGGTTTTTAACACAAAAAAATAAAATAAACGAACTACAGGCTTCCAACAGTAAATTAGTTCACAGAAAAAAATGTTAGGTCAACATTCTTTCAACTAAACAAGCACTGTACTTTGTCACGCTTCCCTTTTTCAAAATTCAAACTTCCTTACGAATATGTGTAGGATCTGAAAAGGAAAGAGCAATTTAACAATCCTCAGGCAAAACCAGACAAACCTGTGTCAACAACTGGATTTCTAAATCAAAATAAGCTTCATGGGAAAAAAGAGCTCTCATTTGTGTGATTAGTATGACCTACATATTAATAAATCTATATTAAAGGAAGAATAGCAATTGCAAATCAAATTCATATATTCAAATATCTTAGATCACTCACTGAAAGAAAATCAACTATTACGAAAATGATATTCCCAGCTGAGCATGGAGTGTACCACCTATAATGTAAGCACTGTGCAAGGAACGAGGACTTCACTGACTTGGTGGAAAAGACAAGTACGTGGAAGAACTGTTTCAGTAGCAGATGACAGATGTCAAGATAGAGGAATGGAGAGGGTCCTTGGAAGAGAAGGGGCACCTCCTTCCCAGAGGAGCTGAGCCAGTGCTAAGATCTGGGAAGACCCCAGACAGGCAGGACTAACCTACCCACATACCAAATCTCCTCCTTCTCAGCGACCTAGGAAGCACGATCTTAACTGTTTTCAAATTTCAATGTGCACAATCTGGGGTGCTTATGAAATGCAGAGTCCTGAGTCCTGTAACTGACTCACTCAATTAAAATCTCTGGGAAAGAGGCCTAGGAAAAAGTTTCCCAAAAGACTCTGATGCTGGCGTCACTTGGTCTCTATTTTTAGAAAAAACTTAAACTCTCAATTTGATTAGAGGTGAACAAATGCTACATTTTTCTGTGACTGTACAGTGACCATGGCCATACGTTATTCACCTTCTCTGAGCCTTTGTCGTCTCTGAACTGGGAAAACTGTCCATTTTGCAGTGTTGTAAGGTTTACAGATATTTTAAAAACAGCTGCCCAGAAAGTGGTATTTAGAAGAGTACTACAGAAACACAAGGTTTTTATAAAATGCTTCATACTGTCTTTTGTCAACCTATGTCTGAAGGTAATCATTTAAGGAGTACATATACTCAGCAAAGCTCAAGAACAAAGAAGTGTACTGTATGTTGTCACGTGATAGGTCAAAGCCTAAGTACAGCGACTTCCTTGAGAGAAGGAACATTTTCTACATCACCCAGGTGATTCTTAAGTTGGTTGACATGTTAAAATAAGCAGACTGCACCATACCTGAAAATCATAAACGATGTGATGAACGGCATTTGAATCCAACAGATTAACGTGTTCAAATTTGGGTCTTGCTCTTCTAAAACCACAGCCAACGGCATGCCAATTACTCTGCTGAAATTCTTTGTATACAGCTCTGCCAAGAAGCCCAGTGGCACCAGTGATAAGAACCCGCCTATTGGGGATGTTAACTTCCTCCTAAAAAGGTGAAGGGGGAAGAAAAAGAATTATTTACTTTAAAAATATTTCCCTCAACGAAGTTAGTCAACATCATCATCCACTGAAGACTTCAAGTCTAAGTAGTTTTCTTCACGTCCCATATCTATCAGCCAATTCTTAAGTTAGAACAAGATCAATCAAACTACATTGATAACTATATCACTTCAGAAAAGTTTTAACAATCTTACCCCAGGCAAAAAAACAAAACAAAACAAAAAAAACCCTAAAATGATACTGCAAGGAATTAGCAAGTCATAAAGACTGATTTCCTGTGTTTATGGTCATGATATACAAATAAGTAACAAACAGCAACTTTAATTATATTCTTCAATTTATAAAATTCACAGTTAAGTTTATGCTTACTTATTTTATGCCCTGGTTAAATATTTGAGCTATATTCCACCAGTATGTTTATACAAGCTGACATTTTTGGTTTCCAGTTTTTAATCCCAAGTTTTCTTTGGAAACTCACTGGTTTATATTTTGATAGGTCCAAGTGAAGAGAATTCACATTCCACAGGAATTTATATGAAGGAAAAATAAATTTGATCCTCTTGGGACTAATATTCTAAGTTTAACCAAACTGATAAATGTTTCTGAATTAAAACTCTACATTTTCACAGGCCAGTTAATACAGATATGGAGGATAAGAGAGAAGGAACACCTAACATATTCTAAACTCATGTGTCACAATTGTGAAAAAGAAAAGTCCTTATACATTAAAATTAAAAAGGAACCACTATTTAGGAAATAAAACCAAGACAGGGTTTCCTCTCAAAATCTTGAATTATTCAGTCAACATTTACTATAAAAAAAACAACAGGAGTTTTATTAAGTTTTATCATCTTGAAGCTTTTTATTTCAAAGGGTTGATGTAGTCACCTAAGGCTGAGTTGTCAAAACTATTCATACAAAGACTTATGCTTAGCCCTTAGTTCAGCTGAATAACTTAGCAGACTATACATTTTTTAAAAAAGAAAAGGCCATCAAAATCAAGTCTTTCTTTCAGAGGAAAAGCCTGAAACAGAAGGGCTGAGACAGTATAAAGGTAAAATTTTAAAGATTTTTTTTCTTTAGGTCAACCAATTTCAAGACGTTTTAAAAGCAGAATGAAAATTCAGCTGGCTTTCTGTTTCGAAACTTAGCCCGAAGTCAACTGAGCTATGAAAATAAGGATTTCAGCCAGCAAAATATTTCCTTTAAATTTTGGCAGCAAAATGCCTCCACAACGTGAGGAACCTGAAGTCCAGAGATGTGAAAGGTTGTGCCCACAATAAAAGGGGGAAAGGTTAAGTACAGAACTTGGGTCCCCTTGCTTCCGAGGTCCAGCCAAATGCATTCTGAGTTTTGCTTCAATCCTTGGAACTTACATTTGGTGTCACGATGTTTAAATTTTATCTGCTCTGCCAAGGACTGTGCCATTGCAGAGTTAGCCCACCTCTACTGATCTAACTCACTGGTAACAGGAGAGACATTAGGACAAGGTGACTGAGGTTCTTCCTCAGTCCCCTCAGTCCTCAGGTTCTTCACAGTCCTACGGTTCCAACATTTCCAACATTAGGCATATAAGCCACTTTTACTCTTTTCACACAGTCTCTCCAGAGACAAAACGAGCACTGTGTGTCACCAGTATAGGGGCCAAAACAAGGTTTCCATTTGGATTGTAAGCTTATTTGTTGGCAAATAATATATGCATCACTAAAAAAATGCCAATCAAAAATAACTCTTCTATTTTTGAGTTTCTATATATAAACAGAACTCTACCTAAAGCTTCTGAAAGCACACTATTTTGATTTTTTTTTCTTTTTAAAAGACATAACTCCTCTGAAAACCACTCTGGACTGTTTCTCTATAAAGTTAGTCCTGCAAGACACAGGCATGACCAAACATGCCTGGAGGAACTCAGAATGGAGAAATAAAATGCTGTCTCGTTCATCGAAACCACAGTCAAGCGCTGAAAATACTGTGTGTGCCTGGAAAGTCTACTTTCTCAATTTTTGTCACTTTATGAGTAAGTAAATTATATCATCACTCTTCCCTTTAAGTTTACTCTGAACATATTTCTCTTACTGAATAAACTCTTAGATGGACAGAATTCAGTAATGTCAAATGACCAGACATACAAAGAAACATTCCTGAAAAATTAAACATACGTAAATGTAGAACTAGCACTTTTATTATGCTATCTCATCAAATAATACCAAACTGTAGAGGTAAAAAAGATAAACAGCTATTTAAGAAAGACCCAAAACAGTAAGTAGTCTGGGTCAGTGATTTCTAACTTAACACACTTGCACTAAAAACGCACCAGAGAAAGGGGTGAAAAAAATCACTAACACCTACAGAGGGACCTTCTTCATCTCCAGTGGTAAACATAATAATACTCTGCAATTTTTAGAGCGTCTTTAACTCAGTGACATTTCATATTCATGTCTTTAATTGATCCTCACAAGATTTCCCCTCCAGGGAGATCTTTCAAGACACACCCTGAACTTTAAGAAGCTTTTCAAAGATCCCACGACTCCTTAGGTGACCTTGTTCTAACTCCCGTCCCGCCGCTGTAAGCCCCAGCCAGGACTATGAACCGAAAACCACCCGAATGCTTCTCTAACAAACTGTAACACAGTCCTCATTCTCACAAGTGAGTTTTAACAGGGTTTAAGAGCAGCAAATATGTCCCAAGCTTTTTTCGTTGTACCATTTTTAGGGAAGGAAAGCCCATTTTCATTAGTCTACGGAACTCCTGTGAAAAGTTTTTATACGTACACACATGAAGATACGTAAACATAAACGAACACTAGGTAACAACAGGTAACTAACTCAGCGCTATTCGGGGAACACAGGGACAATACAGAGGTTTAAACAGTCCATCTATCCTCACTTTACCCCCTTCCCCAAATCCCAAAGCAATGTGAAAACACCAAACGTACTACATTTCGGAGGCGTTAAAATTTTGCATTATCGAGCACTGCCATCCCCTATAACCTCTCTGGCATCATCAGTAAGACACTCCGGTCTGGGCATTTCCAGGCTTCGCATCCCCAGCGCTCGATACGTTCTGGGGACGGATGAACGCTGGGAAGCCCGGAATGAAGGAAGGTGGGCGGGGGTGGCGGACCCAAACGCAGTAAAAGCCTTCCTTATGCAACCTCCGTAGCGGTTCTAAGCCCCCAACAAACATGCATTTGAATCCCGGTTCTAAACGCACTTAATGAACTAGGACGAAGGACTTGACCTCTACGCCTCAATTCTCTCATCTGTGAAATGGGATAAAAACGAATCTCCCAGTCACGAAGGCGTAACATCGAGCCTTGCATAAACTAAGACTTCAGTAATCTCCAGTACTGTTATTTCTGAGAAGCTACCTTTCCCCTTCTTCCTAAGAGATACAGATGGACCGAGGGCGCACAATGGATGCAAAAGAAATTAAGATAGAATCAAAACCAAGACAGCTCCCCCAATCCCTCTTCATTCCCGGGAGAGGAACCTCAAAACTGAAACCCGATGTACTCATTTCCTGCAGCAGAGCCTAGAAAACACTAAAAGGGTGTGCGCGGAGGTAAACAAACTCGATGGCACCGCCTCGGCCTCTCGGGGCTCAGAAGGTGGCGCTAAGGAAGCCGACCCGGCTTCGACTCCGACTCAGGCGGGATGAGCCTGGAAAATCAATGCTCTGCACCCCGATTCCCACGAGACCCCCGCCACGACTCCTTCACCTCGACCACTCGGCAGTCCCCCGGAACAAAGTGGATGGTGAGCTCCTTCTCCCGCCCCACCATGTCGGCCGTCTTCGCTTTGCCGCAGCAGTGAGCCACCACTTCCTCCACCTCCAGACCGCGGTGAGCCGCAGCTCCAACGCCCTCGACCCGCCTGCCCTGGGTCCGGGTAGACCCTCTCACCACTTCCGGCTTCCGCCGCCAAGGCCGCGCCCATTGATTGGCGAAGCTGCACCGTTGCCCCAGAAAGGGGGCGGGCACAATGGAAAACGCTCTCAGCCCACGCGCCAACTCTTAAAGGGATACACAAAACAAAAGGCCTTGGCCTTAAGCAGTGAATATGTTTTGTTTGCGGGATCGAGGAGTTGTTTATTTTTTGTACTTTTCTTTGTTTTGTTTTTTTTTTGTTCTAGACCAGGGATTGGATTGCCTGGAATATGAAAAAAATCAACCAGGCATGTAGTATATAAAGTGGAATAAAACATTTTAAAATCATGGGTGAAGGGCCGTGAGGCCAGAGAGAGAAAGCACCACAGACTTGTATCTCTAGAGCATTAAGAGTGTATTTTATGGGCATTAGAAAAAGAAAAAAGTGTTGACATCTGAGTCATTACAACCTCAACAGCCCATTTGTCGTTCTGGGATGCCAAAAAGTAGGATCAAAAGTTGCAGAAGGAACTAAGGGGAAAGAGTAATGCTGAGCCACCTGTATCACACTTTTAAATAAAAAATTAAAATTAAAAAATTAAATTAATTTCCATTTAAATTAAGTTAAAAAAAAAACAGCGAAAACAAAACCAAAAAAGAGTACAGACCCTGTAGGGTTCGCCAGTGTCTCATGGGACAGTCTGAGTGTGCTTGCCCAGACACACAGATTACCAAAACCGAAAAGTCGCTCACAAACGTGATTGCTGCTCAGACCTTTATAAACCCTTTTTTTTTTTTTTCAAAATCCTTTTTGGTTTTGAGCCTAAGCAGCCTTTTTCAAAAGTCCCGTGACTTGCCTTCTTATTCAACCCCAACAAGAACTCTTTCCTTATTTGTGGGAACGTAGTTTCTTCGGACCAGTATTGGAAGAGAGCCTGAGGCCCTTACTTTGTGGTTTGTTTTCACCGAGGCTGTTCAGCGGTTTAGCATTATTTAGCGAGTCCTAGAGAGCACTGCCCCAGCCCTAAATGTGCCAGATCTTCAGACAACAAAGAAAAGGAGGGTGGGGGTAGGAGGAGAAGCTTTGAGATCCTCTTCTAACTGGAATTTTTTAAAAGTCTTTTGTTGCAATGTGATGCAATCTAATCTTTGGGGAGGGGGGGAGGTATTCAATGAGAAGAAGATTTAAGGAAAAGCACATGTAATTAGCATTTGGACTCAGAGAAGTCTTGTCTAGAGTGAGGAACAAGAAGTTTACTGCATTTGAGGATCTGGTCTGATACTTGCAGGTAAAAACGTGGTATATAGAGTTCTAGAGGCATATGTGTGTGCATGGTTTTTAATCATTCTCTTTAAAGATGCAAGTTTCTATGTGAATAAAAACGCCACCATTATGTAGCCACCATCCGTATTCATGCTGTGGCTAAATCTATGAATTTGAAGCGAGCAACCTGGAGCTAAAAGTTTGTGTTAGCAGATTCAATTTACGCCAAGACAAAGGCTGGAGCACACACTAGAGATAAAATCCTTATTCGTACAGAATCTTCACCTACATCATTGCATTTAGTCTGGGAAATGAAACTGCTGTTCCGTTCTACATTTTATTTTATTTTCCAACTAATGAGACTTAGCTGAGTTCTCCATACAGGGTCAATAATTTAAGTTGGTTTATTCTTTCATGTCCCAAAGTTACATGTTTTAAAGAAATGAATGGCACCCATTCATTTTCGCTTTTTGCAGATGTTCACCGGGATGATTTAAAGAAACTAACTCCAGAATGCTTCATTTCCTGAGCCGCTAGCTCTTACCTGCTCCATGTTCTCCGGCATTTCAGGCATGGTTCCAAAATGATGTCAGGAAAACAGATTTGGGATGAGCTTCAGCCTCTGCCTCCTCTGGCTGGGTCTTTGTTCTTCTGGCAGAGAGCACAGGCTGGGAAAACGTGAGCCTCTCAGCTGCGCTCGACCTTTTAAATTAGCATTTTGATGCCAATCCCAGAATCTCGTGCAGCTTTCAACGTTGCAGTAAACTGGCAGCTGATTCCCCGTGGCAGTCTTGAAAATACCCAATGAGAAGTTTCCTGTTTAATTGCCAGACTAATGAGGGTGCATTAGCAAAACCATTGGCAGAACTAACTTATTTTTAAAAGAAAACAGCAGCAAAACCTTTCTGTAAAGACTTGTTGCAATTTTCTTTTGCAGAAGAACAAGCAAGAGCCAATGTTTGGAAAGCACGCAGACCAAACAGCAGATTCCTGTTCTGAAATATTTTATTCAGTTGTGCTTCATTATGACAGAATCTATTCAGAGAAATTTTCCAGCACTTTTCCCCAGTACTTTTAAATTAACTATTCCAAAGGTCAGTAAAAGGCATGTGGTAACAGCAAGCAGAAATTAAAATGCAACAGGTCATTTCTTTTTTTTTAAGATTTTATTTTTTTTTTTTAGACAGAGTTTGGAGGAAAGTGGAAAGAAACACCAATATGTGGTTGCCTCTCACACAGCTCCCACTGGGGACCTGGCCCACAGTCCAGGCATGTGCCCTGACTGGGAATGGAACCAACAACCCTTTGGCTGGTAACCCAGCACTGAACCCACTGAGTTACACCAGCCAGGGCGCAACAGGTCATTTCCATTTACATTGTCCTGCCCTCTGTTTGAAAAAATGGTATGTGGGTTGAGCCTTAAATTTGGCCAGGAATTAAGGACTTCTAGATCAGTAATTAAATTCCTAAACCTGCCTGCACCAGGGGACAAATGAGACAATCATTCTGAAGGAGTGGAGCCCAGTGAGCTTATTGTTAATTATTTCAAGGATGATAAATGTGCTCAATATTTTGAACCACTGCTTTGCATTATGGCTCTCTAACAATTTAACAACAAAACTGCCATTCAGATAGACCTAAAAAGATTGCTTAAACTCTTTATACACTACCCACTTAGAGTACAGAGCCCAAAGTAAGCTCTATGTGGCGTGGCATGCAGATTCTATGAGTAATGAAGAACTTACAATAATTTAGAAGTTCTGTTCATCAGAAGATAATATATTTTTTAAATATTTTATTTATTTATTTTTGGAGAGAAAGGAAGGGAAGGAGAAAGAGAGGGAGAGAAACATCAATGTGTGGTTGCCTCTCATCTGGCCCCCACTAGGGACCTGGCTTGCAACCCAGGCATGTGCCCTGTCTGGGAATCAAACCTGTGACCCTTTGCTTCCCAGGTCCGTGCTCAGTCCACTGAACTACACCAGCCAGGGCCAAAGATAATATTTTTAAAAATGAATAAGAAAAGCACAGACTGGAAAAATGGTCTTGACACAAATAACTGCAAAGGACATATTCAGACTATATAAAGAGCTCCTACAATTCAATAATTTTAAAAAATGGACACAAATTTTGAACAGTTACTTCACAAGGCAAAGAAAAGACACAGAATGGCTAATAACAATCATATAAAAATGTTACATAGCACAAGGGTCTCAAGGTCTGGGTGGTTCTTACTAAATGCTGTTCTTGCCGAACGTTCAAATGTAGCACAGGAGTTTGCAGACTCAGCTGTAACCAGATGTGTTTTTCCAGAACCAAACCTGATAGGTTTGGCCAACTCCAAAGAAATCAACATGTAATTAACCAGCCCTGACTGGTGCAGCTCAGTAGATTGAGTGCCAGCTTTTAACCCAAAAGGGTGCCAGTTCAATTCCCAGTCAGGACACATGACTGAACTGTAGGGTACACAACAGGCAACCACACATTGATGTTTCCTTTTCACCCTCCCTTCCCCTCTTCCTAAAAATAAATAAAATATTTAAAATATATATGTAATTAACTAGCATATATAAACAATGGCTAAGCCTCCCTTTGGAGCGAGAGAGCTTTTGAGGTGAATCCCCTGTCTCCTTTACATGCTACAAGTAAATAAAACTACATAACAACACCATATTTTGTTCTTAAATAGAATACTCCAAGCAGCAAACCCCTTGAGTTCAGTAACAGAAAGATGCTCAATATCAGGGTATTGGGAGCCGCCCTGTCTGGTTTCAGAAGCTGTAACCCCTCCTGGCTAAGGCTGAGTAGAAAGGCCTTGGGGCCATAAGCCATTAAGGAGACAAAGTTTATCTTCCTTGTACAGGTGCTGCCTCTGCCCCACTTTACTTCATCCTGCTTGGCCCCAAGCAGATGACCGGTTAGCCAATGGTGGGTAATGTTCTTCACGGGGGGTTGGGGGGGATGCCTAAGACAGACATGGTCATGAAGGGGCCCTCAGGGAGGGACTTGGGGGGCTGTAGGAAAAGGGGGTGATGGACCCTCTCCCTTCAGCTTTGACATAGCCTGAGTCCTCATTCTGTCTGCAAGAAGTCTCCTAATCTCTTGGCTGCCTTACTTCCCCTGCCTGACTTAAGCCTGAAACAATGCTGGAGGTGGGTGTGGCCCAGTTCTGGAAAGGGTGGGTTCCCTAGGGTGATCAGGCTTAAGAAAGAATGCATAAAATCCAGAAAACCTACTTTCCTAATACCCTCAATTGAAATGATAAGGTTCTAAGTATGAAGTGAGTTTGTTCCCCCAAATTTTATGGACCTTTAGCTATCTGACCCTGATGCAAAATAAACCCTCAGAGTTCTTTGAATGTTATCTATTGTTTAATCATTTCTGCCTGAAAATGATTGATGAGCTTTATGTATACACCCTGTACTCCTATGCAAATTAAACCCAGTAAAAGCCCATTGAGGAACAGGTTTCTGACCCTTCTCCTTTGAGAGATCAGCCATCTTTTCTCTCCAAGCAGATCAAGTCTTGGTAGACTTATTCTTGACCTCGGTGGAAGGGGGACTCTGTGGGCAAAGCTCCCCCACAATCAGGGACATGTGAGTCACAATAACATCGAGATACCATTGAATGACTAACAGAATGGCTAAAATTAAAAAGACTGATAACAGCATATGCTAACAAGCATTCTGAGCAACTAGAATGCTCATTCATTGCTGGTGGGAGTATAACATCATACAGCCACTTTAGAAAAACTGTTTGTCAGTATATTATAAAGTTAAAT